TCCGGCGTGTTGTGTGACCGTCGTAGGCCACTGAAGCTCAAGGGAAAATTTTATAGGACGGCAATAAGGCCGGCAATGCTGTATGGCATAGAATGTTGGGCGGTGAAGCATCAACACGTAGGTGTAGTGGAGATGAGGATGCTTCATTGGATGTGTGGGCACACGAGAAAGGATAAGATTAGGAATGAGGATATCCGAGGTAAAGTAGGAGTAGCCGAAATTGAAGGAAAGAGGAGAGAAAATTGGTTACGGTGGTTTGGACATGTGCAAAGAAGGCCTACTGACGCTCCGGTTCGAAGATGTGACCACGGGACAAAGGTTCAGGGGCGAAGGGGTAGAGGAAGACCTAGGAAAACTTTGGAAGAGACCCTAAGAAAAGACGTAGAGTACTTGGATCTAACTGAGGACATGACACAAAACCGAGCGCAATGGCGTTCTAGGATTCATATAGCTGACCCCACTTAGTGGGAAAATACTTTGTTGTTGTTGTTGTTGGTTGTTAAATAATTGGGGCATTTGAAAGTCCTTGCTTCTGTAATTGTGAGATGATTATTGTGTTTTGCTTTATTTAATTATAATATAGGGGTGATGGAAAATTTAATTTACGCAGGTGTTTTCCTTTTTTCTTCCTAGCTATCAATTTGGTTTTGCACATGATGCCAAAAAGAACTAGGAATAGCAAAAGAAATCAGATGGTACAAGATCATACTTCTAGAAGTCCCTGCAGTGGAGCGCGGGCATTTTTGCTAGTGTACTCGAAAAGGCTTATAAGGTAAGACCACCTTATCCTTGGAAACAAATTTCTTTTTTAATTTAGAATCTGGTTTTCATGCATTTTATTTTCATGTTGTTTTTGCTGGTGTGTTTAGTTGCTTCATTATGCTTGTTCCTACTTTTCCTTCCGAGGACGTCGAAAACCTGTTTGTTGTGTTGTGGTTTAGGAAAAAACAATTTCTGATATTCTCTATATGTCTTGAGGGTGCAAGTGTAGTTTTTTTTCTCGTCTTTCCTCCATTATGAAGTTGCTCTCCTCATATTGTTCTGGTCATTTCATATTATCCCCTATGCTACCACCATACATTATGTTAATGTTCCGTGATTACAAGTTATGCACTTCATTCCTGACCAGTAAAACGCTCTGCCTCGGTTCGATCAACGTTTAGGCTCTTGACATAAAACTAAATGCAATCTATGTTATTGGGTATGGAGGATGTTCTTCCTGCATATATTGGGATTGAACATGCAACTATTATTTCATAGTTGGAATCTGTCTCATATGACCCTTTGGTTCTGGACGATTGATGGCTGTATGCACCTTGTCCATGTCACCAAGCCGTAGTCGCCAAGTTTTAACTCCCCATTTCTTGTAGATGATAGCTCTCATTGAAGGAGAGTTCTCTCTACCCCAACTCCTTTTTTTTATAACAAGGCTAATAATTGTTTCGTCCTTTTTGGGGTTTTTGTTCTTTCAAAAATTAAAAGCTGAACAAACGGTACCTAATTCATGAAGGTTGATACGTTTGTTAGTATTTGACACTTTGTTGGTGTCTGGACGTTTACAGACGTGTTTGATCCCTGCCAGTGAAAACGGTTGTTTTTTATGAAACAGGGACTCTGGCAGTTGGGAAACCCGTAGTGGCCAATGCTGTGCTCTTCTCCAATTACTCAATGGAGGAGTTCTGTGCTGTGTGTCTATTGTCACATAGGTTGGTGCTTATGTTTCAAATTTTTACATGAAAAGTTTAAGTTTGTACAGTTAAGTTACAGATGAGACAACTCATTGTTATTATGCTATTGTAAAATTATTTTTTCAATCATGCTAACATGCCTCTATTTGAGAAATATGTAGGTAAATGGTGATTGCTGAGGCTCATGCGGGAAAATACTGTCCAGGTTGATCCTGAGGTTGACAAGTATGTTTCAGAACATGATAATCTGGCTCGAATGTGTGTCTTAGTTTCCATTGATGGAAAGTTTGCTGAGTCTTTTGCTGTAACTGATCCAGTGAAGCCAGAAGCTGCATGAGTCATCTCTTATCTTCACTCGATAAACATTACAAGCATCATGGTTACTGGTGATAACTGGGCTACAGCGGCAGCCAGTGCGATGGAGGTTGGCATTGATAAGGTGTATGCTGAGACGGATCCACTAGGAAAAGCTGATAGAATCAAAGAATTACAGTTACGATTATATAATAGTTACAGGGGTGGTGTGAGTGGATTACAATTACCCAGCTCCACAAGTAATTTTGTTCTGGTTTTGAACGCAGATTGAGGATTACTAAATTATATTTCAAATGACTTATCTAGGGTAAAATAATGTCTTATAGAAATATTCAAACTCATTTTTCTATATTAAGTTTGTTTCTGACTTGATATGTTAAAGTGGATTTGGATGCAGATGAAAGGAATGGCTGTGGCAAATTGGCAATGATGGGAGATGGAATTAATGACTCGCCGGCTATGGTTGCAGGAGATGTTGGCATGGCAATTGGTGCTGGCACCGACGTAGCTATAGAAGCTGCTTATAGTTCTGATGAAGAGCAACTTGGAAGATGTAGTTACAGCCTTTGATCTCTCTAGAAAGACCATGTCTCGAATTCGATTGAATTATGTCTGGGCCCGGGGCTACAATATCCTCAGCATGCTGGTGGCGGCTGGAGTTTTGTTCCCTTTCACTGGAATTCGATTACCACCATGGCTTGCAGGTGCATGCCTGCTTCATCTCTAAGCGTGGTATGTTCTCTCTTGTTGCAGTCATATAAGAAGCCTTTGCATATTCAGAGCGTCTCCAATGGCAAGTCTGCATGATAGTGAATGTACGTATCTGAACTAGTTTTCAACCTCTGGTTGTTACTGCAATGAATTTGTACATGCGATCGTGATTAATAATTTAGAAGCAGAAGACCGTAATTCTTGGACCGTTTGCGTATCATCTTTGCTTTGTTCTGTTCAGAAAAACTGATTGGCCAAGTTTAGATGATTTTCGAATCCGAAGAGTGTTCATCCGGAAGAATGTAACTGCTATGTGTTTGGTCGCATTTGCATTTGAATCAAAATGTATGTCATCATTAAATATCAATCTTGAAATTTATGGTGTTGTTTGTTTTGATGGTGAACTGAAGACTAAAATTCCACATTTGGGCATCTCCAGCTGTGCCCACAAAATGGACACAACTCGTCGGCCATTGATTGCTCACTTGCAAGTTGCAACGGGGTTGGTACGCCAACTTCAAGTCATGGCCTTGAATCTCTCTTACATCGCAGTCACCATTCCTCCTCTCACCTACCCACGCTACCAGCAAAAAATGAATGGTGTGTTTGATATGTTAAAAAATCGAAGTCTCCTCACCTTGACCTAGAAGCCGGGCAAGTCTAAGTCGCTCACAAGTCTTGGTAACACCAACTTGTTTCCCTATTTATGTGAATGTAATGAGTTCTAATTTTCGATCAAATTTAAACCGAAAGATGAAAACTACTTCAATTAAGGAGAGAAGTCGTTTCCTACTATAAAAAATGTTGTCGATGATAAACTGCTTGAGTTATATCTATATGATGATTATGGCTAATTACTTAACTGCAGGTGTATTAGCAATATCTCATACCAATTTCAGCACAGATCAGTCTGCGCTTCTTTCTCTCAAGGCTCACATCACTAGTGACCCTCAAAACATCTTGACTGCCAACTGGTCGTCTGCCTCCAATTCCGACATTTGCAACTGGATTGGCGTTAGCTGTGGTGCTCGCCACCACAGAGTCACAACCTTAAATCTCTCGCACATGGGTCTTGCTGGAGTTATTCCTCCGCATCTAGGCAACCTCTCATTTCTTGTTGAGTTGGGCCTTAAGAATAATAGCTTTCATGGTCCCCTACCGCAAGAACTGTCTCGTTTGCCGGTTGAAGGCGATTAACATTGGAAACAACAGCTTTATGGGAACCATTCCTTCGTGGTTTGGGTCCTTTCCTAAACTTCAAACCATCAAATTGTACGGTAATGGCTTCTCTGGTTTCATACCCGCTGCTATCTTCAACTTATCTGCACTCGAAGTAATTAATCTGAGAAGGAACGAACTATCAGGTGCGTACGTACCACCCAATCACCTAGGAATATAAATTAATGTTGCTTGCTTCATGATTACATTTTAACATCTTTGTTTCATTTTAACATCTATATATAAGATGTATAACAATCATCTCGTTTGTTTTTTTTTTTCCTTCCTTTTTGTTGGAATGCATGCACATAACAGGTAGCATACCCAGAGAAATAGGCAACTTAACAATGGTGAAGGGCATAGACCTTGACTTCAACAAGTTCGAAGGTATACTGTATGACTTAGGTTTTGTTACATGTATACTAGCAGATGCCTTCACACACTGTGTGTGAATAATTTCATTTCATTTTGTTTTTTTTTTTTACTATGAAATGTGATTAGTTTTTAAAATTCTAACAAAAAGAAATCAATTATAAAAATTAGGACAATGATGAGCAGTTTCTTCTAAAGTAGGCATGTTTTTTATTTACTATTTTATTTTATTTTTAATTTTTAAATAGAGCATGCTATGATGACTTGGCTGTGAGGTTGCCGTAAATAACAACAAAATTTATGTTCATGTAATTACTAAATTACCCATATATTTTTTTTAATTTTTGTGCAGTTTTGGTGTGGGGGTTAAAATTGTAATTTCATGTAGTTTTGGTTGGGAGAAGAGTTGTATTAATAGGTACTAAGTAGTTTAGATACGAGCCCCTCCTTAGCAGGAATCTCGTTCCACTTTAGCAAAAATGAAATAAGAGGACTATCATAGGGATCGTATATTTACTGTGTAAGACCCTCATATGCTGGAGCAAAAAGAGAACCTATATAGTGAGTACATGGTCCTTATAATGTTATCCCACTTTTGCTACGGTAGAACGGGATTTCGAGTAAGAAGCAACTCCTATATATGTTTACATGATTTTAACAATATATACGGATTGATTTATAGAACTTCCAAACGAGATGGGCAGTTTAGGTCAGCTGGAGGAGTTGTATGTGAAGTCCAATGTCCTAAAAGGCTCTACTCTTGTGCCTGTCCTCAACATATCTTCTTTGACTACTTTGGCTCTATATGGAAACAACATGAGTGGCAGTCTTCCGGACAATATATGTGAGCATCTTCCAAGTATTCGAATTTTGAATTTGGGTAAAAACCAGTTTGACGGTCTGATTCCCTCCAAACTGTGGCAATGCAAAGAGCTTCGTGAATTGGTATTAGGTGTTAACAATTTCTGTGGAAGCATACCCATAAGTCTTGGCAATTTGACCTACTTAACCAAGATTCAGATTGATGACAATAATTTAACAGGTAGTAAATTTAAGACTATTTGATAATCATTTCGTTTTTAGTTTTTAGTTAAACTGAAGTTAAAAATTTAATGCAAACGTTTTGAAATTGTGACAGGTACAATACCGGATGAGATTGGTGATCTTCCGCAGTTAGAGATTTTGGGATTGGGGATTAATAATCTCAATGGCGTCATCCCATCCAAACTCTTCAATAACTCCATGATAAGAGGAATAGGGCTTTATTTTAATCAGCTCTCAGGAAGCCTCCCAGCATACATAGGTCTTAACGTTCCAAACCTAGAATACCTTGAAGTAGCCAGAAATAACCTCGTGGGCGGACTACTCCCTAACCTCTCCAATGCTTCCAAGCTCAGGGTGCTAGACATGAACACAAACTCATTTACTGGGTTTCTTCCTAGCACGCTCTGTTCCTTGAAAAACCTCGAGGTTCTTAACTTGCACTCGAATAATTTGGCAATTGATGCTTCTACTCCACAAGCAGCAAGCACTCTCTCTTGCTTGTTTAATCTCAGAAATTTGACAAGATTGTCCTTGGGAGACAATCCACTAAACACCACGATTCCAGCTTCTCATAGGAATCTCTCTACGTCACTCCTATATGTGAATTTAATCCGTTCCAACATCAGGGGCAACATTCCAGTTGATATTGGCAACTTGAGCAGCTTGATATCACTACAACTGGGAAACAATCAGTTGAGTGGAGCAATTCCAACTTCAATACAAAGGCTACAAAATCTCCAAGGTTTGTATTTGTACAATAACGAACTGGGAGGACATATCCCATATGAACTCTGTCAACTAAACAACCTAGCCGAGTTATTTTTGGGTGGTAATCGGCTCTCTGGTTATATTCCTTCCTGCTTGGGTACTTTGGCAGTAGCTCTAAGAAGTCTATCGTTAGGGTCCAATTTGTTAACTTCAAAAATTCCATCTTCCTTGTGGGAACTCAAGTATATACTGCACCTAAACTTGTCATCCAATTCTCTAGTTGGACCACTCTCAGAAGACATCGGAAAGTTGAAAAATGTGGTGGATATAGATTTATCAAATAACCATTTCTCGGGAAACATTCCCGATAGCATTGGGGGTCTTCAGAATATGATTAATTTTTCCTTGGCAACAATTATTTAGAAGGCCCTATTCCCAGTTCATTTGAAACCTTGCTAAGCCTAGAATTCTTGGATTTGTCCAAAAACAATCTATCTGGAGTGATCCCGAAGTCATTCAAAGCACTCTCGCATCTCAAGCATTTGAATTTGTCTTTCAACAAACTCCAAGGAGAAATTCCAACAGGCGGGCCTTTCGGAAACTTCTCTGCTGATTCATTTGTATCAAACGGTGCGCTTTGCGGTGCTTCCCGACTCCACGTTCCATTGTGCAAATATAAAACAGAAGTTAAGCCAAAATGGAGGAAAGCTAAATATATCATCTCAGGGGTCATGTCAGCAATACTCCTAGCGGCCGCTGCATTGATTCTGATACTATGCAAGAAAAGAAATGTCGAAGTTGTAAGAGAAACTGCCTCGCTACATCAAGTTCTTTGGAGAAGAGTTTCGCACCTAGAACTTGTAAAGGCGACAAATGGACTTCACGAGAGTAACTTACTAGGCACAGGGGGGTTTAGCTCAGTATACAGAGGAACACTGTTAGACGGAATAGATATCGCCGTCAAGGTTTTCAATTTACAGCTAGAAGGGGCATTCAAGAGTTTTGATAAGGAATGTGAAATGCTAAGCAATATCCGTCACCGGAATCTTATTAAAATCATAAGTTATTGCGATGAACTTAGTACTTCAATTGATGCCTAATGGAAGCCTCGAACAATGGTTGTATTCTCCAAACCGCTCCATGAATATCCTGCAGAGGTTGGACATAATGAAAGATGTTGCATTGGCACTAGAATATCTTCATCACGGTTACTCGATACCTATCGTTCATTGTGACGTGAAACCAAGCAATATACTACTAGATGATGATATGGTTGCACATGTTGCTGATTTTGGCATTGCAAGACTCATCGGTGGTGGAGATTCGATGACAGAAACCATGACCCTAGCCACAGTTGGATATATGGCTCCAGGTGATGTATTTTCTCAATTTTGTATATGTTGGCCTCATTAGGAGTTATAATTTTCTTTTTATCATGTATAACTAAATTCACATACAAATTTTGCAGAGTATGGGATGGAAGGAAGAGTTTCAACTAGAGGGGATGTGTATAGTTTTGGTATTGTACTCATGGAGACATTCACAAAAAGGAAGCCAACAGACGAGATGTTTGTTGGGGAAATGGATTTAAAGCAATGGATTGCAGATTCATTATTTCCAGATGCTGCAATAGGTGAAGTTGTGGATGCCGATATACTTGGGGCAGAGGAAGATGGTGATTTCGTGAGCAGAAGGGATTGCTTATTATCCGTTATGAGATTAGCTTTAGCTTGCTCTGCAGCATTGCCGGGAGAGAGGATTAACATGAAAGATGCCGCAATCACACTCACCAAAATCAAGACTAAGTATTTGAAGGACTGTGGAGGAATGAACTCTTAGTTCTTTTTGTTCTCTATATTTTCGGATCCATTTGCTTATTGTTGTTTTCAATCTGCAAAGACTACATTATCTTCTCATAGTGACAGATACGAAAATATGACGATATTTCTTATTGCCTGTTACCACCAATATATTACTCCAATTTTAGCCGCCAATACAATTGAAGTTTGCTTGTTTTCTTGATATTTCTTCAGAATGTTAGCTGCCCTTGCAAGAATATCATCTGGATGATGGAGCAACCTACCACTGTACCATTCCTACAACGAGTCAAGCCACTGTCAGATCTACTAAGCTCCACAGTGTTTTCCAATAAGTTTAATCATGTTATGCCAAGTATCGCATGATAAAGAACCATAATATAATTTACTTTTCCACTTATACTCCATAATTGTCCTAAGTTTACTAACCAGTTCATCCTATGACGTTTATTTTTCTCTCTAGAAAGACAAGCATCAATGCATTTTCATTCTTAATCAAATTGCATTAACTTAGTGCAGTTTCTTAAAAACCCGTTCCCTTGTCATGACTTCATACTAAATCATTAAAACATATCTACTTTTTAATCATGTTGCGTAAGAGTAGTGAAGACTTAAGTAGCAAACAGTCTGCAAGTACAACCCCTAGAAGCAAATAGAGTTAGTTCGAGGATGAAATGAGCATGAACAGAACGATAAAAGCAATTATGTCATGCAAGTTACACTAGGATTTTGCTATGCACCTACACAGAAATGTTGCTTGGCTAAAGAAACACAACTTCAATTCAGTGTCTGCATTTTTCTCTAAGTGGTAGTTTGAGGATGAATGTGTTGGACTTTCCTGTTATGCAGTGATGTATTTTAGAAATGTGTATAGGAAGAAGAAGTTTAGAGAGAAAGTGAAGAGGCAGAGAGAGTTCTCAAAATATCTCAGTGAGAGCCAAAAATGCTCTACTGCATATATTCATTCTTTCCTCAACATTTACATGACTACTAGGAAGAGAGAAGCTACGTGAGCCTATGAGCTCATCATACCATTCATTACAAGACCCTATGAGATCTTGACACATGCTTACATCTGAGCCTAGCACAATATTATCTAATCTCAGCCCTTGATCACAAACTGATTTATTTACACTTGCTAAAGTAAGGAAAATACAGTTTAGACCTTAATCAACTAACACTCCCTTCTAAGGTCTTAACTGAGATTACCCCAAGCTTATCCCTCTAAGCACAGAATCTGTCTTTAGCAAGCGCTTTGGTGAAAATGTCAGCTAGTTGCTCCTCACTTTTGCAGTATTGCAGGTCAATTGTTCCTTCTTGAATTGCATCTCTGATGAAATGAAACTTCCTCTTGATATGTTTAGACCTCTGATGGAATACCGGATTCTTTGACATTGCAATTGCTGATGTGTTATCACACATCAAAGGAGTTGGTTCGATCAATTCTTCACCAAAATCATGCAGCACAAATCTCAGCCATGTAGCTTGAGTGGTGGCTTCTGAGGCACTCAGATACTCGGCTTCAGCAGTTGAGAGTGCAACACTCTGTTGCTTTACAGAAGCCCAAGAAAATGCAGCACTGCCAAAGCTGAAAGCATACCCTGATGTGGACTTCATGTCATCTTCATCTCCACTCCAATCACTGTCACAAAATCCTATGAGTAGAGCTGCATTTCCCTTTTCATACTTAATTCCATAGTCAACAGTTCCTTGCACATATCTGAGGATCCTCCTTGCAGTGCCAAGATGTTTGATGGAAGGACAGTGCATGTACCTGGCAAGTACACATGCTGAGTACAAGATATCAGGCCTTGTTGCAGTTAAGTATAGAAGGCTGCCGACAATTTTCCTATACAATTTTTCATCTGCAGCTTCACTCCCATCACCTTTCCTTAGCTTATCCGTGGGAGGTAAGGGTATTGAGACAGATTTGCAGCTCTTCAAACCAAACTTGTCCAGTAAACTCAGTGCATACTTTTTCTGGTGAATAAAGATACTCCCTTCTTGTTGGATTACTCCAATTCCAAGAAAATGATGCAACAAGCCTAAGTCGGACATCTCATACTTGTTCATCATATCACATTTGAAATCTTCAATCATTTCTAAACAGCTTCCAGTATAAACTATGTCATCCACATATATAGAAACAATCAAAGTTCCCTGTCCATCCACATGTTTCACATATAAGGTGGCCTCACTTGGACTTTTTTTTTAAATCCACTCTGCAGCAAATGAGTATCAATATTGCTGTACCAAGCTCTGGGAGCTTGTTTGAGACCGTACAAGGCCTTTTTTAACTTATATACTTTGTGTTCTTCTCCCTTGACAATATACCCATCTGGCTGATCTGTATACACTTCCTCTTCAAGGATCCCATTCAGGAAAGCAGACTTTACATCTAACTGGTACAGTTTCCACCCTTTCTGTGCTGCCAAAGCAATGAGTGTTCTTATAGTGTCCAATCTAGCCACAGGTGCAAATGTCTCATTAAAATCAATTCCGGGCTTTTGAGTGTACCCTTTGGCAACTAATCTTGCCTTGTGTTTTTGTACAGTGCCATCCAAATTCAATTTGGTTTTGAAGATCCATTTTACCCCAACAATTGGTTTGTCACTTAGCCTATCAACCAATCTCTAAGTGTCATTCTGCTCAATCATAGTAATCTCCTCATCCATTGCTTTCTTCCAAGCTTCATCTTGAGAAGCTTCAATGTAGTTCTCAGGTTCAATGACACTGAGTCTACACTGAGCAAACACTTCATTCAGATCTCTCCACTTCTTTGGTGTGTTGTCATAAGTTTCTGTGAGTGGAATTTCACTCTCCATATTCACAGTGTTAGGAGCATCATTGTGTACACTGGAAACATACTCACTTCTTGTATTTGGGCAAGATAAATCAGAGGAACTAATATTAGTTTCTTCACACACACCATTTTCTATCTCAGTTATGCTTATACCCTCATTAGCTTCTGAGAAAGGTACTGAGAAATGCACAGTTTCCATATTCTCCCAATTAAGAGCAGCATCTTCATAAAAAATAACACTCCTTGAGACAATGATCTTGTTGTTTCAAATCATACACCCTGTAACCCTTTTCTCTTGTCCCATATCCAACAAATACACCTTTCTGTCCAGTTTCATCCAGTTTCTGTCTTAACTGGGTTGGCACATGAGTGTAGCAAACAGAACCAAAGATTCTCAAGTGTTTTACCCTTGGTTTTCTACCACAGAATTCTTCAAAAGGAGTCTTGTTCTCTAGTGCTTTGGTAGGACACCTGTTAAGCAAGTAGACAGCAGTGTGAACTGCTTCACCCCAGAACTTGAGTGGTAATTTTTTTTCATAGAGCATGGTTCTTGCCATCTCTACTATGGTACGATTCTTCCTCTCAACAATACCATTTTGCTGGGGAGAATAAGCAACAGTGAGTTGCTTTTCAATACCAACATCTTCACAAAAATTTTCAAATTCTAGAGATGTGTACTCTCCTCCTCTGTCACTTCTGAGTTTCTTCAGTTTGTAACCAGTTTGTAATTCAGTCATGGCCTTGAACATTTTAAAAATTCTGAATACCTCAGATTTGCACTTCAGAAAATAGACCCAACACAT